TTCTCCCTGTAGCTCTATTTATTTTTGCTTTGTATATTTAAGGTTGTTTTATCTTAGTGTAACATTTTTTATATCTTCCTGAAGAATTGAACCTGAACATTTTATAATTATTTATTGACCCTTGTTATCCTTACTAATACTTTTTGTTTTAAAGCCTTTTTCATTAAAATTAACATAGCTACTCTAGCTTTATTTTGGTTAATGTTTGCTTGCTGTGTCTTCTTATATCTTTTACTTTCAACATTTCTGTGTCTTTGTGTTTTAGATGTTTCTCTTATAGACAGCATTTAGTTGATTTTATTTTTAGAAATCCATCTCACAATCTCTTAAATAGCAAATTTAGACCATTTATATGTATTGCTATTATTAATATGTTTGAAATTAATTCTACCCTCTTACTTTGTATTTTTCCTTTGTCTTGTTTTTTTCCTATGCTTTATTCTCATTTAGTTCCTTTTTCTAAGTTGAATTTTTTTTGTGAAATCCCCTCCCATTCTTCCCTACTGTCTCTCTCCCTCCCACTCCAACATAACAAACTGGTTTGGAAATATAGTCTATTTCTGTTGTTTTAATAATTACCCTTCTACTTTTGCTTAAATCTTACTTAACAAGTTCTGTACTTATTTATTATATTTTATTTAACTCTAAATTTAAGATGTTAACCTCTCCCCTGAATAATCCTTTGACTTTGAGCATCCAGCTCCAGGCTTGTATACTATTATTTTTCAGTATTTTAGTTCTATTCTTTTTTTAAAAAATCTCACAAATCAGACAGTATAGTTATTTTATATTGACAATTTTTGTTTATATTTTCCTATGTATTTACCAGAATTCCACAGTCAGTAGAAAGACATAAATAGGGGTGGTGCTTTATTTTTTACTCTGATTAAGGTAAAAGGTGAGATAATTGAGTGTTGAGATGGGCCTGATTTTCTTTTGTTATAAGATCATACTGTTTATGAGTATACCTCAAATACTTTGAGATAAAGCGTGTGTTAGTTTTGTCACACATTTTTGTCATGTGGGCCTCTGAAAATAGAACACATGAGATAATGTCCATCTTGTTCCCTATAGACCCTCAATGCTTAGCACGTCGGATAAATGACCGTCAAAGATGTGGCATCAGAGACAGCAGGAATCCACCTAACCCAGCTTGCGATATTCGTCTGTCTTCCCTCTGTCTTTGCCTTTGTTCTCAAATACTGGTCTAGTGTAAGACAAACCTGGGTTTTAATTCCAGCTTTGTGACTTCCCAGAAGTGTGACTCTGGATAAGTTCCCTAATTTTGTGAGCCTCTAGTTCCTTATCCACATAGTGGGATAATCGTAGTCGGATAAACAACTCTTAGAGGAGTTGTTTGGAAGCTTAAATGAAATAATGGGTGTAAATGCAATGATGAAGGTTTAGGGTAGTGTCTGGCAGAGAGCAAGTGCTCAGTGACTAGTGTTGTCTGATTCCACCACCGTCTCATTTTCCTAGATATTTTTTTCAGAGTTTGCATTCCTGGTTTGCCTTGCCATGATTTCTGCCCCTCTATTTCTTAAAAAAATTATTGTGAACTATAACATACATACAGACAGGCGGGTAAGGCAAATTTATGATTTAACAAATAATGATAAAATGAATACCATGTGACTACCACCTGGGTCAAGAAATAGAAGACTCCTAGCTCTGCAGGACCCACCCCCGCTCCCCATTCCCTTTCACGATTTAAAGTAGCTGCTTATCCACCACACGGAACCACCACGCTGACTTTTTGCTAATTATTTTGTTACTTTTCTTTACTTTTTTACCATCCATGTCTGCGAGTGTAAACAATGTAATTTAGTTTCTTTGTTGAAATTTTCATAAATAGAATCATGTGTTGTTTTGAGGTTGCTTCTTTCACTCAACATTTTATTTGTGAAATCCATTCCTATTATTTTGTGTAGCTTTCCTTCATTTCCTTTATTATATGGTATTCCATTTTACGGATATCCTTGTTCTTTTCAAGTATAAAATAAAAATAATAGCTAACACTAATTGGACACTTTCTATGTGCTACCTTATGAAATGGGTGCCTTTATTATTCCCATTGGACATATGAAGAAACAGAGTCACATAGAGATGAAATAATGTGCCCAAGGGTTGGAACCAGCTGTCCAATCTAGATACTGACTCCCGAACCCACAAAGTTTGTTAATCTCATTCATAGTCTCAAGTTTTTCCACTAGTTACCTGATTTTTTTTTTATTTAACTGCAGTTGGTTCCTAAAGGATTCAATGGATATTCTGGCCTTCCCATAAAATTTAGCATTTTTTGTTTTAATTCATGTATGGAGGAAACACCTTTCTTTACACAGTCACCTTGTACTGTAACTGGCACAGATCTTTACACTTCTGCTCTTTGAGTCTTTTCTAAATATTACCACCAAAATTATGCCCTAGTTTTACTATTTAGATTTGATTCAAATGTCAATAGTTTTACTATTCACATTTATTTACAGCCTCTTCCCAGGCGCTCATTCCTAATTCAAGCATCCTTCTTCTTTGTTGATTACCAATTTCTCAGGATGCTTTTCTTCTTCATTCCTTTTCTCTTCTCCCCACTCATAGCCATTTCTGCACTTGTGAATCAGTCTCTTTCTCTTCCTTTCCGATTGTGTGCACCTTTGAGGCCATTGACCTTGTCCTTGAAGGCCTCCTCCCTTCCAAAATTTTTTAAGGACAGATCATTAGTGAAGGGTTTAAAAAGAATTAGGAATGACAACTTTAGGGTCGTTAGAGTAGTTTGTAATGTTTGGGGTCTGGATTTTGTTGATTCAGCTGATTCCACAAATACATACTGATTTATTTGCTAACTATGCATTTGTGTAGCTGGTTTATTTTTATTAACCATACCCGATCCCTCTTCCCCACGTCCCCCTGAAAAAGTGAGATAAGCATATTGCCATCATTTTCAGCTGTAAAAACCAGTACTAAAGGAAGTCAACAGCTTGGTCAAGTTTAAAGAGTGTAGGTGCAGCCAAGCTGGGCTTCACACCCGCATCTGCTGACTCCTAGCCCAGTGCTCTTTCTCTTTGATCACAGCAACTTCTAATGAAGTTACGGGAAGGGGAAGTGGAACTAATAGGAGGGGGAAAGGATTGTTTGTATGTTCTTCCTTTAATTTCATGCCTTCCAGTTTTCTTCTTTTCAACCAGTGAACATATACTGAGGATTTACCTCATGCTAGACACAGCTACGCGCTGAAAATTACAAATGGAATAACACATGGTCTGCCCTCGACAAGCGCATGGTTTCGGGTGCATGGAAACCAGTACAGTCTTGTATGCTCTGTGCTGTTGAGGGTGTTTCTACCACTCAGGAAGCACCCTAGGGAGCGGAGATGGTCTGGGAATGTTCCTTAGAGGAGGAGTTGGCCACATGCATTTGCTAGAATTATTTTTCCTGTATTAAAAATAGTTTTAAAATATTTTGTAGCATTTTACCTCCCTGTTTGTGGACCTACAGTGGCCTTGATGTGGCCTCTGAGGGCCACCACCATTTCTCTGCCCTCTGGCTCACCACTGGGTTTTGTCAATACTTTCCAACTGTTTTCTACCCATAAGCACATATGGACACACCTGCAGATGACTCCCATTTCCTGCCTTCTCTGTCCAGGTACCTGCAGGTCTTTCCTCCTAAGAATGTTCATCTACAAAGCATCTTCTCTACCAATCCACATCGCTCTCTCTTTAAAATATGACTCTCAATGTGTTTCTAGAAGCCCTTTCTCTTTGAATGCATTTGACTTACTCTTAATAATTATTTCTTTCCTTCAGACCTATAATTTATGATATTCAAATATTTCTTTCAGGCCAGTTTTGATACCATTATTATAATGACTCTGTCCCTAATCTGTCCTGTTTTATATTAGACAATATGTGTTTATTTTGGTGTTCTAAAATCACTTATTTAAGCCCTGCCATGATTCATAAACAATTTGAAGCAGTTCTCATCTCGATTTGAGCTCTGTTCTGCCACATGCTGTAGAGTGACCCTGAGTAAGGCGCTCAGCCCCCCACAGTCTCAGCCTTTCCATCAGAGACGTGGGGTGATGCCTGCCCTGCTCTGCCTCGGGCACGAGACGGCATGGATGCAAATGCTATGATGCTGCGTCAACGTGAGGTTTGGGTTTCCTTTGCCCCCATCTGCCTAGAACATTTTCTGTTCACAGTACTGAGGAGTTCAGTGCAGCGTGTTGTGCTTTTAGCCTTGAAGGGAACTGCATCCACTTCTCTCTGTCTCCACTGCCACTCCTCCCACAGTTTGGCCCCCGTCACCTCTCATCAGGATTACTGCAGTGGCCTCATGAAGGAGGCTTTCTGCCTCTCAGCTCACCTCCTCTAGTCTGTTCTCCAAGCAACCTCAAAGTGATCTTTCTGAAATGAAAATGGGATCCTGCTCTCTAGACAAAATCCAGACTTAATAAGGTGATTTATAAGACCCTTCGTAATCCAGCCGCTGCTCACCTCTCCTTTTCTTACTGCAATCAGCTGCTGACTCACAAGGCTGTCTATGGCCTCTGAGCCTCTAGACATGATGACAACTCTCTGCCTAGATCTTTTCCCTCAATTCATCCCCTTCTTCCCTAGTCGGATAGTGCTCACCTTTAGGTTTTAGTTTAGATGTCTTTTCCCCCAGGAAGCCTTACCTGATATCCTCTAGTCTGGATCAAATGTTCTCTCATCTGCCCCTGTACCCCTCCTCCAGCACCCTTCACCCTCTACTCCCATCCCCCTGTTACAATAACAGTGACACTGAACTGAAATCGTCTCTGTGGGCAGTCTGGGTTGTTTGTTGAAGTGTTCCAAGTGCCTGGCACCTAGCACTCCCTAAGTATTGATGCATGAACAAATGAATGAGTCTGAGCCTGCCAGACATGGGGAACTGGTTTATTTACCCTCAGTCATATATGTAAATTGTGGTCATGATGTCTACTAGGATATAATTAATCTCCTCTTTTATTTTCTTAACAGACAAAGATGTGAGCAGTGGGAGTTATAACCTTTCCTCTGCAACGACAGGCAGCTACTACAGTTGTGTCAGCCAGATCACCATAGGTGAGCAATTGTGTCATTTTGTTTTATAAAAATTATCATTGCTTGGAAAGGCTGGGAGTGGGGGTGCTAAGGAAGGAATGAGTAGCAAATGTAACTGCAGGAGCATTTAATTTCAGAATCAGAGCAATTGCTGTGGACTCCCCTTGCTGGGGCGCCCTCTTGTGGATCCTTCTTGCTTTTACATAGAAATGGACGGAGGAAATGTGGTCCAGAGAGATTTTTAAAAATCCGGGTTTTCCCAACTTTTTGTCATTTGCTTTAATTCTTTCATTTGTATATCACCTGTATCATTATGTACTTAATATTAAAACTGACTTATTTTTAAGATTTATATTCATCCATTTTAAGAAGAAATTTTATATCACAACTGCAGATAGAAAATGTACATTATTTCCAGTATGTGTGAGATGTATGCATACAATATGAGAAGTATGAGAAGTATGTCTATATGTATGTATGCATACAATAACAACAAATCAGTGTTATTGAGGATCCTGAGTTGGCCAGCTGTCTTGTCCCCTGACTTCTCAGAAATAAAATCTCACATGACAGCATGTGGCCTCCTCAGAAACCTGGAGTCTGCACTTTGGGGCAGGTTGTTCTCTGTCCATTCCCTTCCTTGATGAGGGACCCCCGCAGGAGAGAGTGAGCCACTGGCAGGACATAACGTGCTTGCCCAACACTCTCCCAGCTGCCTTCCTACTCAGCCTTAAATGTGTTTTATTTTGGTCAAAAAGTGACCCTGATTATTTTTCTGTTTGTCGAATCCTTTCCTCTCCCTTCCACTTCCTTTTAGAATTTTCTTGATTACAGAATCCTGGGCACTGACTTAGAAAGAAGAAAAAATAATGATAATTGCAGCTAACATTTATTTTGCATTTATCATTTGCCAGCGTCTCTTGGCCATTGACATCCATTATTTTATTTAATCAGGACTCTGTGAGGAAGGTACTGTTATTTCCCCATCTTACAGGTGAGGACAGTTGCTCTTTGCCACCCAACCAGAAATTAATGTTCCCAGAATTTCAATCCAGGTCTGTTTGACATTACAGCTCAGGTTCTTAAATGCTATATCGTGGTTTCTCAAACTCCAGTAATGTGAACCCCTAGAAGAGAAATAATAATTATGAACCTCTAAAATTGATTTAAATTATTTTTATTATAGGGATACTTTATGTTCAAACGTAAAAGTAAGTATAGACATGTTATATTCCAAATAGCTATAAAAATCAAATCAAATTTACAAATAGAATTTAAAATACTGTAAAGCAAAAAAAATTCACATTGTCCACATTCATTTAATATGATGGATGTTGTTATTTTGCTAAAATGCAATCACTGCTTGTAATGCAACGTGGTTCTGGCTGCAGCAGTGTATGTTCTTTGAGTTCAGTGTAGCTTCACTATTAGGTACTTACGATAACTCTGCTCTGCCACCACCTTTCTCTGGTCAGCCCACTGTGAAGTCTCTGTTACTGCTCACTCAGGTGAGGTTACTGGATCTTCATTTGGTATGAAAGTACCTTGACATATCCATCTCTCTCCTTTTCTCATTAAGTGTACCAATTGGTGCCAACTTGATGGAAACACAAAAGCAAACCCAGGCACTAAAATTAAGTGGCAGAACTTTGTCCACAATATGCATCTATTAATTTTTAAATGATTAAATTAACTTTTAAATGAAAAACAAAAACAATTTAATAATTCTTGTGGAGCGGTCACACATCCTGGTTTGAAAACACTAAGTAGCCTAAAATGTCGTTCCTAAAGATATGTGTTATGTAGTGGGTGGTCATTTAGAGTTCAGAGTAGGAGAGTGACCAGATGAACATGTGGGTGAAAGAAGGTTTTTCTGATGGTGAACAGGATGGATTTCACGTGGGAGAATCTGGTGTCATAACTGAGTAAGTGGCTATGACTATAGTCTTGACATGAGACAGTAATGAACTTGAGAGGTGGGTAAAGAGCTCATCTGGAAGAGTTGGCAGGAATAGTCATTGACAGGATGTGGGGAAAGACAAGTGTGCCCTGGGAGTTTGAGTCAGGGTGACAGGGAGTCTGAACCATTCCTAGTAACAGAGAAGTCAAGAGGAGGATGTGAAGGCTATAGGTTAGATGTGTTGGGTTTGAGCTGCCCATGAGACTGTCTCCACCTCAGAATGCCCCACAGGAAATTGGAAATGTGGAGAGAAAGGGCAGGAGACAAAGATAACATTGAGTGTGTAGAGGGCCAGGGACCAATCTTTGGGGGAAGCACAATTAGGGTAGAAATAGTGACAGAGGTAGGAAGACCAAGTGAGCACATTTCTTGGAAAGCCCAGATAATTTCTAGAAGGGGAGACTGAGGAGAGTTACAATTAAAAGTCTGCCCTGGTGACATCCCTGAGAGCCATGTCAGTGGATGTTGGGGTGGGAGCCAGGTTTCAAAACCCTGAATGAGGAGTGATGAGCTATGAGTTCTCTTTTAAGACACTTAGTGAAAGTGGAGGGGTAGATAGTGAGGACCATATGGCACCTAACACTCTTTGGGAGCTTTCTCTGTGCCAAGTACTGTTCTAGGTAATTTTTCTGTTGTTTGCTCATTTAATCCTCACAACAATCCTATGAGGTAGATGGTCTCATTTTTCCCATTTTACACATGAGGAAACTAAGTTCTTGAGAGGTGAGAAAGATATCTAAGGATGCATGGGTAGTAAGGGCTAGGATTGAATCCAGGTAATTTATCTCTTATTGGACAAAGCTCTTGTTACTTGCCATCTTGAAGACTGGCTGGCCATCGGCCAAGTGCCTTCTCCTGGTCCAGTTAGCTGTGGCCACCATGTCAGTGTGTATATGGGTTGAATTGTGTTCTCCAAAAAGATATGTTGAAGTCCTAACCCCTGGTACCTGTGAATGTGACCTTATTTGGAAATAGGGTCTTAGCAGATGTAATCAAGTTAAGATAAGGTCATACTTGATTAGGGTGAACCTTATCCATTGTGACTGGTATCCCTATAAGAAGAGAAAAGCCACAGAGACATACAGGGGGAACACCATGTGATGATGGAGGCAGAGATTAGAGTGATGTGTCTGTAAGCGAAGGAGCACCAAGGACTGTCAGCAACATCAGAAGTTGAGAAAAAGGCATGGAACAGATTCTCTCCTAGAGACTTCAGAGACAACACAGTCCTGCTGACATCTTGATTTCAGACTTCCAGCCTCCAAAACTGGGAGAGATTAAATTTCTATTGTTTTAAGCCACCCAGTTTGTGGTCCTTTGTTAACAGCAGCCCTAGGAACCAATATGACATGTTCTTACTGACCTATGCCCTCACCTCTGAAGGGGAGGTGGGTATGACAGACACTTAGTTTTCTCAGAAGGTGATGGGGTAACTGACAGGCCCTTGAATGTTGCTTCAGTTCCCTGATTCAAAATGGCTGAAACCATAAGGAAATTTATTATTTCACACAACAGGAAGACCAGAGGCAGGCGTGTCCTTAGGATGGGTTGATTAAGCTGCTCAATGCTGTTGTGAAAGACCTTCTCCCTTTGCTTTCCTTGGAGAATTTATCTTTGTGGTGGCAGCCAGATGGCTGCCGTGGTTCCAGGAATTGCATCCAGACACAACAATGATGGAGGGAAAGGAACTTTGGTGCCTTACTCAGGCTTTCACTTGAGGGGCTGAGAAACTTTCCCCTGTAGCTCCTCAGCGGATTTCTCCTATCTCATTGGGCAGGATTGGGTCACACGATCATCCTTGAACCAATCGTTGACAAGGGAGATGAGATTATCTATAGACCCATCATGCCCAGGGGGAGGCGGGTGAGGATGAGGCCACTTGCCCTAACTCACAGGGCTGAGTGGGAGTGGGATGAATTCCCAAACTCTGTTGGGAGGAAGAAGGGGGGATGGATTTTGCACAGGCATCAGGCAGTGTCCGCTGCCCACAGTCTGTCCAGTACAAAGCACTTTTGCAATATTTATAGTAAAAGGAGAAAATAATTAACAACCTTAGACTCAAAGCACTGGAGGGAAGACAGATCTCTGGATCATCCAGCTGTTCTTTTTTTAAAGCTCTTTTTGTTTTCTTTCATCTTCTGCACTTCAGTCCTTCTCTTACAGGATAGTCATTTCACACAGAAGTGTCCCATTTGTGAGGGAATTCCCTTTAGGAAAATAGCTCACTGTGGACTTCCTATTAATGTAGTTCCTTATAGGAACCTATGTCCTACCAAAAACAGTTGCCAAAAAGTCTAAAAACAGAAAAATGACTCCTTTTGAAATATTTATGTTTATCTGTGAGGCTCTTGGATAACTCCTTATTTTCTGATGGTTAACTCCCATTTTACCCATGTATGAGAGACTTAAGAACTTTGCAGTTAATTAACATCAATTTTTTCTTGAGACAACCTACAATTTTGAGTGTTCCTTGCATGTCTCTCTTCACGATTTTGGGTCTAGTTGGTGATAGTGTTAACACAGAACTCAGAGGGAATGGAGACCCCTGCCCCTACCCCGAGGCCAGGATGGTGAGTGAGGAACAGTGAGTAGACTACCAATGTGACATTCTCATTACTTGCCTTTGGATACTTGGACACCACCTGTTCCCCTGGATGGTTGGTTATTCTCCCAAAATACTTTGACCTCATTGGTACCTTTGAATTTAGGCTGGTCCATTTATATTCCATCATAATTATGCACATCTTATCATAGCTTATTTGTATCAATAATATGGGTTAAAATATTTGCTAAGGAACTCCATTTCTGGAGTTAATGATGTGGTAATTTACTGAACTGAAAAAAAAAAGCTTGTTAGCTATGTAAACAATATCTTTCCAAAATTACGTATATGTTATAAATGAGCTATAATTTTATAAAATTAACGGTAAAACCTAGAATTGTGGAGAGTCTAGAGTTCCTTGGGACTTTTAAGCATAACCCTGTCACACCGTGCTCTGTTCTCTACATTGACTCCAGAGGAGCTTGGGAGTGTGGAAAGAAAAGAGGGATTTTAGTGAGTTTCTGAGTGAAGCAACAAGGCAAGTGAAAATGTGGCCTTGCAATTACTCTTCTTGTAGAAGGATTCTATGGTATAAATATAAGATAATATGTTTTCATATTTCTAATAAAAAACATAATGGAACATCAATTTAAATGGAGCATTCTGGAATTTTACTTTTATGGCCCAGTACTCTTTTAGGAGCTGTGGGAGATCCAAGAGTAAAGATCACAAAATAAACAAATTTGCATTAGAGGTTTAGTCCAACCAACATGATCAGGGGCAGTCCTGAGGTCAGTATCATTGAGTTCAGTCTCTGTGGCTCTGGTTCCATCGCAGTTCTAAACATTGAGAATTTGTGTTCTCATTGATTATCTTCAGGGCTTCATAGCCCTCACTCAAGAAAGATTCACTAGCCTCACTGCATTCCACTTAGTCACCTTTTAGGAAGGTGACCAACCAAGAAGAGTTCAAACAATCCAGTTGGCATGTTCTTATGTTTGTCAGCATTTCTTCCCATTCCTCGAACATTGTGGTCCATTGAGATCCCTCGATGAAAAATTGTTCAGAAAGGAATGAATAACCCAAGAGCGATTTGTAGGGGAACAGACCCCGATTCCATCTCCCAGAATCCCTCTTGCGCCTGTTCTCTTAGTGTAGCAGGAGGGCTGAGTGGTCCAGAGCCCCTGTGTTGTCTTTGGTGAGCCTGGGCATAAATCTTGACTGTTATGTCTGTGTAGCTATTGACCTTGAAGAAGTAATACTGTCTTTTAGCCTCAGTTTCCTTATCTGTCAAATGGGAAGATTAGTATCTCCCTCACAGGGTTATGCTGAGGTTCAAATGAGGTGGTACTGGTAGATCCCTTAGCACAGTGCCAGTAAGTGTCAGACAGAATCCTAATTTTTAGTGGATTTATTATTTTATGACAGTAATGCAGACTGTTCGTTCCTAGGCTTCAGCCACGACTTCTGTGTTGATTACTACTAGATTTAAAACTCTGGTGCAATTTCTCTTGATCCTCATTTCCATTTTTTTTTCAGCCTCCTGCCAGATATTTTCACATAGATATTTCCACTAAAGCTCAAACTCCTCATGTCTAAAAACACACTTAACCTTCCTCCGCCCTTGCAAAGCCAGTCCTTCTGATTGCCACAGTTAGGATGAGGAAATCCACCATGTTGTTTGCCATAAGTCTTCTCTGACATCTTCCCAGTGAAAAAAAAAGCTACCTGGTGGCCCCAAACGCCTTTCTTTCCATGTCAACGTTGCATGTCTTTTCCTTTCTTGCTGCCAACATTTAAATTTGGTTCCTCAGTCAGGCTTACCTGGCCTCCACTTCACAGCATCTTGCATCACATGCCACTGGCATCCAGGAAGAATTCAGTGAACAGTGTGTATCTATTGAGTGCCAGCTCTGAGCCTAGCCTTGTGCTAGGCTCTGGTGAGAGAGGATTGAGGCAAAGAGCTAAATAGAGAAACAGTGGGAGGGAGTTTCAAAGATGACTAAGACACCCTCTAACCTTGAAGGCTGCTCAATTCATGAGGGAGACACATGCAAAGAAATAACTCTTGGCTGTAAAGTGTTGGCAAGAATTGTCTTATGTGTATCGATGTTCAAGTGGTTTCCAGCACAGTGTAGGGTAGGAGGGCTGCCCCAGGCACCATCATCCAGTCTTCAGAATCCACGCAGGCATCCTCCCTTGTTACCCCTTTTGGGCTGTCTTGGTTCCTCAACACCCCCTCCCGAATTTGCGCTTTCTCCTTTGGCACCTCCAGTTCCCGCACATCAGCACCTTTTACTGGGCCTCCTTTGACCATGGCTATGAAAGCTTGGGTCAATCAGAGGGCGCCCCCTAGGAGAGGTCACCAACAGAGAAGGATGGGGCCAATTCTGGGTATTTTGCTAGCATTAATTTGATTATGCCAATCTTCACTTTACGAACTGTCAGGGATATTATTTTGCCCGCCAGATCAAATCTAGTTTTCTTACTTTGGCATTTAAGACCCTTAACTGTCTTCTATCAACCTACCTTTCCTTTCTTGTTTTTGTTTTCTGGTTACACTTATATGCCTAAATCCTGTATCTCAGTTGCAAATGCAAAGGCCTGGAGAAGTCAGGCATGTAAGACAAATGAATGAAGCAGGCTGGGAGTAAGATATTAGGGAATGGTGGGGACTGTGGCAGACTGGAATTCCCTTACTCCACCCCAAGGGAGTGGCTGCTATCATTGCTCCAGCTGCCAGTTGCCATGTGGGAATGTGGTCCAGTGTTGCTTAATCTCTAGGAGAAGATCAAGAGATTTTTGAAGAGAAGCCAGAAAGCTGGATTTTTGTGACAACTCTCTAGATTTTTCTTGTTGCCAATTTTAATTTAAATTTTACTTCAAATTAAGAAAAACATGGGCTAAACAAAACACATCTGCAGAACAGATCTGTCCCTGGGGCCTCTAAGTTGCAATGCTTGCCTATAAGGCCAAGTTCACGCCACCGTCTCCATGACCTAGTCTCTCCACTTAGAAGGGCTTTCTCTCCTGAAGTCCTGGGGAGAAGTTTCTGTCCTATTTTTAAACCATTTCTTTCAACTTGCTTTGTACTTTAGTTAGTTGTAGTTTTGGGAAAAGAACATAGATTTTGGACTCAGATCTGGGCTCAAATTCTGCCTCTGGCACTTACTGGCTGCTTGACCTAGGACAAGTTGAAACCCAGTTTCCTCATCTGTAAACTGAAACAGTAATAGTCCCCTTGTGCAGCTACTGTGAGGATTAGAATCACTTATGCAAGTACATAGTAAGCCTTCAGTTAATTTTTCATTGTGAACATAAATCTTATCTCCTTTACTGGACTCTGAGCAGGGCAAAGACTGGGCACTTAGCACATACGTGTATTTAGTAAACATATGTTGAGTAAGTGAACAACATTCATCAAATGCAACGATTCCTGCCTGTAAATTAGTAACATGCGTCCTTATCTTAAGTGGTGTTTGATTAGACTCACAGCTAAGACTTTTGGGAAATTCAAAAACCAATACAGTATGAGGCTTTGATTGCTCCTCCTCACTTAATGTGTTTGTCTCACCAGGTTATGATGTCTCTGGGCCTGTTGCAATTGGGCTCACCCACTGGAAAAATCCTTATGCACAAGGCAGACCCACCCTCCCGTCGGATCTGCCTCTCTTCGTCTCCAAAGATGCAGGCATCCCTGTGTATCACCAATCCCTCACCCGCAAGACTGACCTGGCCACGCCTTTGTCTTGCCCAGCCTCACTCTCCATCACTCCAGTGCCTTCTTACAGCAGCAGCAGCCAGGAAACCCTGAGTCAAGACACGACAGGTAACAGCGCTGGTGTCCTGTTGGAGATTCAGGATTCAATGTATTTAAAGGTTCCTTCACGCATTTGCCTGCTGCATCTACGTTCATGCTTGTGATGCTGTGGACTCCAACAATTCCTCCATATTCACTGGCCTTTAATGGGTTGGCTGTATCTGAAGGAAGGTTGGATGTGTTTAGAAATATCTGGTCTAAGTGTTACTGCTATTTGGTAAAATGTCTTCTGGAAATCAACTCTGAATCAGAATTCCAAATTTTGTCACATGAATTTTTATTTGTTTAATTTCTTTAATCCTCTAGTGACAAGGCATCTATCTTGGATTAAACTCTTATATTCAAAGAAGTTATCAAAAATCCATTTTGAATTCCTTAGTGACTACCAATTCATGTTGCTGCACCTATTTGATCTATGTCAGGGGTCTGCAGACCACTGTCAGTGGGCCAGATCTGGTCTGCTGCCTGTTTTTGTTCAGCCCAAGAACTAAGAATAGTTTTTACTTTTTAAAAATGGTTGATGTCTTTGTTCAGGCTGCTATAACAAAACACAGCAGACTGGGTAGTTTATAAACAACAGACATTTATTTCTCACGGTCTGGAGGCTTAAAGTTTGAGACCAGGTTTTGCCACCATGGTTGAGTGAGGGCCCTCTTTTGCGTTGCAGACTTGTAGTATCCTCACATGGCGAAATGGGCAAGGGATCTCTGTGGAGTCTCTTTTATAGGAACACTAATGCCATTCATGAAGGCTCTACCCTCAAGACCTAAGCACCTCCCAAAGGCCCTACCTCCTAATACCGTCACATCAGGGATTAGAGTTTCAGCATATGAATTTTAGGGGAACACAAACATTCAGGCCACAGCAGCTGAAAAAAATTAAAAGAATACTATTTTGAGATGTGAAAATTATATGAAATTCAAATTTCAGTGTTCAAATATAGAGTTTCATTGGGACACAGCCATATTCATTCATTTATGTATTATCTCCGGCTGATTTGCATGACAATGGCAGAGTTGAGTAGTTGTGCCAGAGACTATATGGCCTGCAAAGCCTGCAATATTTACAGTCTGGCCCTTTGAAGAAAATGTTTGCTGACCATTGATCTATATGATCCTTGGGTGTCATGACTTAAGTAATCAGGGCAAGAAAGGTGCTTACAACATTTTGCCTTAAGATTTATCACTTACATAACACTTTAAGTGAGTTACAGGAAGATTTACCTATGCAAGGATAGCCAGTAAATTGTTTTTACTTCTAAAGTCTGAGCCTAAGATTTAAATTATGCAAAATCTATCCCCCCATGTTTTTCTTCTATAGAGATAGCACTTAGAGGTAATCATTTAGTTGGGCAACTCCATTGTGTAATTCCTGTTCTGGAAATAAATCTTTGAATGTTTACATTCAACACTGACAATGACACTCAGCAATTCACAGATGCTGCCACCTAGAGATGAGATGCTGATGTAGAAGTTCCAGATTATGAGTTGTTGTTAGTGCCATCAAGTGGCTTCTGACTCCCAGTGCCCATGCGTACAGCAGAATGGACCCCTGCCCAGTCTTTATGCGCCATTCTCTCACCTTCTGGTGCTACATCAGACATGCTCTGCTGCTACTCATTGGGTTTTCATGGCCAATTTTTTTGGAAGTGAGTGACCAGATCCTTCTTCCTGGTCTGTCTTAGTCTGGAAGCTCCGCTGAAACCTGTCCACCATGGGTGACCCTGCTGGTATTTGAAATACTGGGGGCATAGCTTTCAGTATCACAGCAACATGCAGCCTCTACAGTATGACAACCTTCAGACGAGTGATGTGGTTCCCTAACTGGGACGTGAACCCAGGCTATGGTGGTGAAAGTGCCAAATTTTAACCACTAGACCACGAGGGCTGGCAGATTATCAAAAGCGATCTTTAAAGTAGTAGATTGCAGGCTCCACTAAATGTTAAGAATCACCATTGCACTTGTTTAAAAAAAATGAAGATTCCTGGATCCTACCCCAGGGGGTGTTGTATTCATGGCACAGAGCTTCAGTCTGCATTCTGCAGGCTGTACCCCTCCTGGGATTCTGATTCCCAAAGTTCTCATACACAACTTGGGGGGCTCCCTCCAAAATGTATTTGGTTAAGTGGCTAGATGGAAATCCAAGAGATTGACATTGCAGAGCATTCGGGGACATTTGCATACCATCAGCTCTGCCCTGGCAAAACTAACCATCTTTCTGGTTGTCTTGATTGATGGTCAGTTTGAGATTAGAAAGGTCATGATCTGGGGTGTGGACATTTTTCCACATGTAAGTGAAATTTCCTGGGTTTTAATGTTATCATGAAGGAAAACTGACTCTTCTTGCTTTAAAAGTTTAGTAAAATCTAAAGTTAAGAAATAAAGTGCCACCTTTGGCCAGGGTAGCTGCGAGGTGATGGCATTTCTTGGCAGAGAGGAGTGTGAAATGGCAGCTGCCAGATTAATGTTTTATCACGTTTCTCTGAGTTGGCTTTGCTCTCTTTCTAGAGCACCATTCTCAGAAGCAATCCCACTTTTGAGGATGTTTCTATTTTTAACTTGTAGGTTTTCAAAAACAAATTAAAAGCCCTTATTTCTCTTCATTCCTGGGAACTTTCCATCAGCAACTGTTATTATTATTATCTGTATACTACAGATTAAACCTGATCATTTAAAGGTATATTACACAAGTATGTGGTATTTTATTATATAAAATTGTAGATGCTGATGTAGCTTTTGTAAGTCTCAGTTATGATTATATGTAGGTCAATTTTTGCATTTATTTGATTTCTTACAGCAATTTGTGGATTTTAATATGTATTTTTTTGTGCGAAAACTTCCAGTTTCCTTTCTTCTTTCTTCCTGTTTCTTAAAAAATAGTTTTTAAATTTTTTAAAAATGTATACTTTCTGGTGAGGAAGATTGGCCCTGAACTAACATCTGTTGCCAATATTCCTCTTTTTTTTTTTTCCTCCCCAAAGCCTCATTACATAGTTGTATATCCTAGTTATAAGTCATTCTGGTTCTTCTCTGTGGGATGCTGCCAGAGCATGGCTTGGTAAGTGGTATATAGGTCTGTGCCCAGGATCAGAACTGGCAAACCCTGGGCTTCTGAAGTGGGGTGTGCAAACTTAACCCCATGGCCACGGGGCTGGCTCTAAAGTTAGTTGACAACTCTGGGGTGAGATAAGTTAGATCAACTATACCAGACTGTCCTACAAATTCCAGACTGTGCCAGACAGCCCTTCGTAATTCTAATCTATCCTTCTTCTGCATAAACGTCAGGTCGGATGTAGAGGAACTGACAAGTTTTAGGCACAAAATAACTATAAAATTATTTATTGATTGTCAGAGTTTCCCTATCTTTAAGAATTTAGCCAAACACTTTTAAAAATTATTTTTCCATTTTATAAATCCCACCACTCTACATTTCTAGAAGCAATTAAGAAAACATGAAATGACTGGAACTTCCAGAGTTTTCATTTTATTGAGGTGTTTTCACTCTTGCCAACATCCTATTCCGTCATCCTTTTCCTTCATTGTGTAACTAACTTGTACAGTAGGTTCTCTTGTATTAGACTTCATTTAGTTCTGCTTACCACTTTGGGCAGTGAACAACATGTGAAACTCTGCATGGTGGCCCTGGATGTAGTGTTCTTTCCTCATGGCACAGAATTTTTTTTTAAGAGATTTTATTTTTCCTTTTTCTCCCCAAAGCCCCCGGGTACATAGTTCTGTATTTTTAGTTGTGGGTCCTTCTAGTTGTGGCGTGTGGGATGCCACTTCAGCATGGCTTGATGAGCGGTGCCATGTCCGTGCCCAGGATTTGAACCAGCAAAACCCTGGGCTGTCGAAGCAGAGCGTGCAATCTTAACCACTCAGCCACAAGGCTGGCCCCTGGCAGAGAAATGTTTTAATCAGTAAATAAACTGTAGCAGGTTAAGCTGGAAAAACAGTCTCCAGTGTTTGACTTGCTCTGTCAATCCATCCGTCTATCCATCCATCCATTCACCCAATACATGTGAAGTTCCCACCCTGTGCTATGTACTGTGATAAATCCTTGGTATAGAAAATTGAGTAAGTCATCACTCCTGTCTATGGAGCTCAAAGTCTACAGGAGAAGACAGATAAGTAAATCAAATATTTTAATTCAGTGTGATAAGTGCTTAAATAGAAGATTTCACATTAAGTGATCATATACACACATTTTTATTTACTTATTTTGCTTTCTTGGTGAGGAAGATTGGCCCTGAGCTAGCATTGGTTGCCAATCTTCCTCTTTTTTTTTTTTTTCTCCCCAAAGCCCCAGTACATAGTTGTATATCTTAGTTGTAGGTCATTTTAGTTCTTCTGTGTGGGATGCCACCACAGCATGGCATGATGAGCGGTATGTAGGTCTGCATCCAGGATCTGAACCCCAGGCTGCTGAAGCGGAGCCTGTGAACTTAACCACTCAGCCATGGAGCTGGCTCCTCACACGTTTTTGTTATTAAATTATTTAATTAGTGTACTATTAAAATACTAATACTTTGAGACTGTCTCCATCTCTGATATTCTGTATAGCTTTGATACCTGATTTTTGGTGACCAAGCTGTACATCTTGTGTCACTACTATCACACAACTTACATTTTTGGTCATTTTCCACCTCCAATTGATTCTCCACCACTTTCTTCCATTGTATTCAGTTCCCAGTTTAATACTAATGACTTCAAAGCAGTATTTCCATGTCTGATTTCTCTGACAAGCTCTAAAGATGGATTTACAACTGCCTACCAGACTTTTCAGCCTAAATATATCCTACACATTTCAAAACTTATGTTCTCCAAATGGAACTTTCTTCTGGTAGCTCTCAAAGTTGAATATCTTACTTTCCCTGTTTAGTGGGTCAGACTCACAAGCCCAAAACTAGGTGTCCTCATGCATAACTCTCTGCTGGCCACCAGCTTCCACAGCTACCTGGCTAACATATTCATTATGGCTACCTTAGAAATGTCTCTAACTCAGAGCCTCCTCTCCATCCCTACTGACACTCCGTCAGCTCAAGCTCTCATCATCTCTACCTAGACTAGTGCAGCCATCTTATAACCAGCCCCCCTACCTCTTAATTCTTCCATGTACACAGGGTTAGCTTTCCCAAATTCATCTCTCTCTCTTTCTTGCTCCCTCCCTCCATTCCTCCTATCCCCTTCCACATATCCCACCTTGAAAACCTCTGTTGTTTCCCCATTGGCTTTGAATAAAGTCTAAACCCTTCATTCGTGGTACAAGAGGGCCTCCCTGACTAGCTTTAACTGGCTATTGAGCATATCTCACCACTCTCTACAGATGCATCCACACAGTAATTACACTTAATCCCTTACTATTTGCTAAAGCTTCATGATTTTGCACAAACTGTGCCATCTACTTGGATGCCCTTCTGTACATTTTCCTCCTAGAAAATT